CGTCGGCTCCTCCTAAAATTAATCAGTTTGTGACTGAGTGATCAATGTGACACAACAGACTGTAAGTAAATATAAGTTATATCAGCGAAATGAGGAAAAAGGAAAGTGAAGAACGTATAAACATGAATATCCCCTTCTGTTCAAAMCTGGTCATCGACATTAAAATTTGATGATCACAWGAATGTACRTACASCTAATTGAAGAAACGTTGTCGGGTCCAAAAAGGTCAAATCATAGAAGCTAAGACCGAAAGGGTACTTGGGAAGACAAACAATTTGGCTAATTTCATAACAAACAKMTCTCCAGCATAAAWGACTATCATGCTGTTAATCTTACTAGCTCTACTTGATTTACGGTACACCGTATATGCAAATGTAATCCCAATTTAGTGRTWCTCAAAATCCCTTTCGGTCTTAGMTTCTATGATGTGACCTTTTCGAACACGACTACGTTTTTTCAATTAGRTGTATGTATAATTATAGTACAATTATATTTTCAAACATTCTAGAAATGTGTATGTGAGGGAATTTATGTGATACACTCAAAACACTTAATCCCGCAATATCCTGATTCTATTTAGCTTGGATGAGATCCCATTTCATTTAAAGAGATAATTGACTCTTTTTCCAAGTCCTCAAGCTTCCAGCCCACTAGCTCTTCACATGTRCTTCTAATGCCGCCGATCAGTTAAAAAACCATTTGTTAGAGCACAACTAACCAGCTATTGTATTTGAGTACAAATAGCTGGTCCTTGGGTCTTTGCGGTTACCGCCAATCTCAAGTACTTAATCGACTGATACTGTTGTCAACTATAAGAGATAATCAAATAAACTAATGAGTWTTGGTTATAAAGTTTGGAGAGATGAGAGCGATATACCATGGCATTCAGTGTGCTACTTGCATCAAGCATTCTTCAATAGTTAAGGTATAGAGCTCGACAAAAGCTACAGCCAGGTGCGCTGTTTCTCAATWTAGGGGCAATAAATAACATTCTACCGAACTACATTTATTTATCATAGTTTGTGCCTTTAGCTATAGCTTTGAAAACATGAAAAAATAATAACAGAAATTGAAACACSMTGAAAATTRGAAGAAATATCRATCATTTTGATTAACTACATGACGYRTGATCCTACGTGATTGATTATTGTACACGCATTTGAGCCCATGATGTTTAAAATTTTTCAGTCAAATTAACTACGCCCTTCTTCCTGATAGACTTTGCTCAAAACTGATAAACATTGTCTGGTCAGAACAAGCAGTGAACCYAAAGCATTGATTCTAGCTTTGGTTCATTAATTTAACAAAAGTTGACCTTGTTGGGCACGAAGTATGWTARAMAAAATAAATTGCCAAACCTACCATAAGCTTTTTTACAGCTTTTTTTAASTCCGGGTCRAAATACCCGACTGGCTTGCTATCCAATAACTCCATTAGAGATCTACCTGTAGATCACACGAAGATTAGCTGGTTTTAACATTGTTTCATTTTAATTTATCTAATTATAACAATTCTTTAAAGCAAATGTTTTAATACTGCAAGAATAACCCCATAATATGTGCTGCAGTCTCAGTCGCAAAGTCTTTTAGCTTTTGTAAAAGCTAATTAATTTATAGCAATTTTTCTATATATTTTAGCAAAAGTTTTCTCTTTTGAAGTGCTCATGAGAAAAAATCTTTGTATAAACTATAGGAAATACGGTAGATGAATGTTTTTCATGAATGAATTTCACAGTAGCCTTTTTGAGTCTGCAGTAAACACCAACGAGCACACAACTGATCCGTTTGGCACTCAATCACAGAAACATCAAATGACAATCCAGTTCAACAAACCTTGCAAAGGCAATCCACCTCCCATGTTGAAGATAACTGCGAGACAAAGAAAAGCTAATAAAATGATTCTTGGGTTCATTATTATTCTCTCAGCTCGATGTCGCGTGGCTGAAGKTTTCTTTTTTCGATAATTAGATAATTTCAGGGTTGTTAAGAGGATTCCAATTGTGTGTAAACACTGCTAAAATCACCTGTTTTTTACGCAAGAATTATTTTGTTTTATTACCTAATGAACTTTGACAKGACCATGACAGCGTTCAATGAAACACCAGCAAAACTACACGCTTGGTAAATTGATATTAGCTATCTTATTTAACAAATGAATGAGCACCAATTTACTTCATTTTCATTTGTGTTGATGGAATTATTTTCCATGCTCTGTCGGTCATTCTCCGAATTTCACAGCAAAATATTTTTCATGAGCACCGACTCGACATCAATTCAGCGTTTCAAAAAAAACAAAAACGTGTTGTATTTGATTATTGGTTGTGGACTTGAAAATAGAAAAGCTGACCGTTTTTATTGTGTATACGAGTATTTTATTTAATCAGTATTTGATGTAAAAGAGCACTATATGTATCAACTATCGAATAAAATCATTTGTCTTGGTACGGCCGAATGAGATCAAAACCAACAGGGGAGGGGAGGGATGGGAGCACTCTGGGTGATAGAGAGAAGCGTCTGTTAAATCATTTGTGATCTCATCTCTGGGACATCTTGCTTTTCCATGTAATTATTTTCAGTTTTTCGGTTTCCCTGTGGAAAAAATAATTATGGAAGAGAGGGGACTGGAATAGAATAACTGCCTTCATTTTTTTCCCTTCCTGCCTTGTTTCTAGTCCCGCTCTCTTACTGATCTAACACAAGAAGACGGTTATTTTTTTAGATAGGAAATAGATGCCTGCATAGGAGGCAACACTCATGAGATATACCTAAACTCAGTGCCGTAGCTTTCTTCTTCTTTAGATTTCACAATTTACTGTGTGAAACAAGGGTAAATCATCAATGTAAAAAAGAAACATAACAAAACAAAATACAATACATTTAACAACAATAAAAATGTTTTTATTAGAATTGCTCAAGCCATTAATATATACATATATTATATATAAAATATTGAGCTAAACGCTTTGAATAGGATCCATCGATTTATTTTTACAGACTTGTTATTAGACCTGTTATATATATTATATATAAATGGCACTAATCTGACAGTGAATATCGCTAGGTGGAGGGGACTGAGTCATGTTTCCATTGAGGTTGACTAAACCCATATTTGTAATTTTTTGGTGTTAGTATTTCTAGAGTTTTGAATATCTCTCAGGATGCTTAGTATCTCCGATATCCTGAAAAAAACAACAACAAATCAAGTGGTTTATATATGGTCAAAAACCTATTTCAAATCATGATGCCAGCTTTCATAGCTACATCTTGAAAATTTGATAATTTTCTGGGTTTTGGCAAATGCCGTTCAAATATTGTTTATTTATTTATTTATTATTTAATTTTTATTACATAGATAGAGCTGATGACCAGCTCTACGAAGCCGGATTTCGAGTACTTACTTTTCATCTTGTTCGTTAATTCTTGTCGTGAGGGTTGTAATGGCGTTCTCCATTTGGTGAAGATCGTTTTCTTTATTTTCCTTTGCCGGTCGGTCATCAAGAGGCGTGATGGTTGGAAATCCAGTACTCATAAACTTTAAGAGAAAACCTGAGTTAGTAAAACCTGCAAAATGTCAAATGACGTTCTTTAGCAGCATAACATAGCAGTGCATAAAATTTCTAAAACTAGTAAACCCTTTTAGCGATCTCTTTTACGCTGTGTTAGCCTCAAAACCATGATGTAAAAAATTCTTTTATTCACAACAGCTCGTGCAAAGAGATCTGTGAGTATAGAAGACAATGAAAATAGTTTGAAATTTCACGAGTTTTATCTACATTTCTGAATATTTTAGCACACAATTGAGGCTAACACAGCGTAAAAGAGATCGCGAAACTCAACTATTACACGACTGTAGGCAAGGTTAGAAGTGTAGAAGGGTAGACGACGAAGGCTCTAGGCTTAGTGTTTCCTAGAGCCTTCGTCAGAYACTCCGACATCATTATTGTGTGTTTGAACATAGTTTATTTACCTTTTCTTTCAAGCTCTTTTTTCGAAATGGGTACTCAACAACATGGTCGACAAAGAGTCTTTGGCGAATAAAACATGGAAGCCGTGCTTCGATGTCTATTAGTCTTTCAACCTGAAAACATCGATGGTATTATTGTATATTCTACTGTATAGGAATGGGCAAAGGAAAATCTTGTGCGTGCTGCATCTTAAACCAGGCACCGAGAAATCTCATAAATAAATGAAAAATGTAGCGACCTTATCATTATTTTATTTTATTTTTATCACGTCGAGTTAAGTTAGCGAAGTCAGGATCCCAGGTTCGATCCTCAACTCGAACACGTCTAAAAATAATTCTTTTTTTTCTTTCACATATGGTAGAATCTAATTATAATAAATAGACCTCATGGAACCATCGAAATAGCTAAAGGATATCAGATAGGAAGCCCGAGTAAGGGTGTATTTTGAGATTCCAATCTCATTGTCAGACTCGAGCTCGGGCTTCCTTTAAGAAATGCCCAAAACTATTTTTGCGGTTCAAATATTTTTTCCTCGAAATCACTGAAAGCTCTGATTAGAAAGTGAAAGCACATTTGGTAGAATCTAATCATAATAAATAGACCTCTTGGAATCATCGAAATAGCTAAAGAATTTAAGATAGGAAGCCCGAGTAAGGGTTATGATGATGGAAAAGATTATGCGCAGAGTCTATCAAATCAATCACGGTGCTGACAAAAATATATTCCACGGCAAAATTATATAACTCCTTTAGCTTCAAAGCCCTTTATCATAGTGCCTTAGATGATTCACTGTACCTGGGACAGAAGATGTGTTCGTCGTGAGAGGTCGACAATTCGCTTGATATCCCCAACAGACAATCCAATCTATCGTTCAACAACAACGGACAAATAGATTATTGRACTTTGTTTGAATGAATCAAATCCAAGTAAAATATTTAGAGCGGATTTCGTATGACTGTGCAACGGCGGCACGGATCACAACAAGGACACGGCACGGCATGGTCACGGAACCTCGCCTTGTAGGATTCCAAATGAAAATAAAGATTTAGCAATACATCACCGCTACGGCACCGTACGGTCACAGCATACCGTGTTTTTTTGCACAGTCATACGAAATCCGCTCTAGCGTGGATCACGGCATGGACACAGTCACGGCACGGACACCATGTTTAGCAAATATAATTCGAATTTGTGAGTAATTAAATTTTCCTTTGTGTTAGCTTCGATTATATCATCTTTTATATAATARTAATAAATAATCAATACATACCAATAAGTTTTTGACAATTATAGGCATACACAATACCATAGTAACATAGATGCCGTACGTTATTATGGGGTAATAATTCGATATCGGTTGATACTTGTACAACGTGTGAGGATACTTCATTTCGCCTAGAATCAGCATAAACGTTGTCCAGATTGACAACGTCACAGTATCGAACAGATGGTAACTGGTACTATGGGTGGTCGTGTTAGCACACTTGTCAGACGAAACCTAAAGAAAAAACAGTGAACATACTAAATTTAATTTCTTACTACATACAAGATATTGCACTAGTTATATTATATCTCACCACATTTTTGGGATCATCAGGGTTTTCAGGAATAGAAAAAATAATGTAGAACGGAATCCCATATGCACAAACAAACGGTAGTAGAAGTACAACGATCTGTAAAAAAAAATATGTAATATCAAACTTTCTGTTGCAATTCACGACCATATTTTGTTATTTTGTCAAAAATAGCATAGATTAGGCAAATATTGTTAGGAGTGTACCTGAAGAAGGGTTTTGATAATGGAGAACATGATGACTATGTAGGTACCGAATACGAAGGAACTGAAAAAAAAATTATTATAATAATGAAATAAACAAATTAAACAGAATCAACAAAGCAACCATGCTCAGCCAGCAAGACATTTTGAAATTTTGAAATTAGTATACCAACCTTCTCATATACAGCAGTATGTTAGTGAAGGCTAAGAACACTGTCAAAGCCATTAAGCTTCGCAACACTTCCGGTGTATGTCGATTGTCTTCGTGTCTTCCATATTGTAATATCGAGACGATGCTTATTGAATACAGAGAGATCTCAAACCAACTGTCTGCTCTTGTGAAGTAATACCATTTCTGAAGAAAAAAAAATAGAAAGCGTGTTTAATGAGAGATTGATTGGCGTACAATAATTCCACTGAAAATTTTATATCGTAAAGCCACTGGAAAAGTTGATCAATTTATGAGTCTGTAAATGTAGTTTAAATTAATCAAAGAAAAAAGTTTGTAAATTGATTTTACAAGACATTTACAACGTTGAAATGATCTATAATCAAAATTTACAAGATATTTACAGAATATGCATAAAATTTACAAACTTTTGTAAAGGACATCTTGTCTGTACATCATGTAAATTCAAGTTGAATTAACAGTATATTTATATATTATCTACAAACTTTGTAAACTAATCAACTTTTTCCAGTGTGATAGAATCAAACCACTTTKTTACCTGGCTTGGAATCTGTATAATTTCTTTGATTAATTGTAATAAAGACAGAAAAATTACAACCCATCGTAAGGACCCTATCAATTCCTTTAACTCCTTTGATCTGTGTTCCAAAAGTAATGCTAATGATGTCAGGCATGTCAAAAATATAAGGTAGAATATAAAATTGACAAAGAACAACCAGAATCCTATTCTAAGCCTGAAAATAGAAAATCAAATAAAGAAGTCACTTGCATATCATCTACATATATCTATAAAGAGATATTGTATATCGCTAATATTAAAATTCTGTTGTCGTTTGTTTTTGTGCAGTGCGCAAACGCTGTGTACGCCAAAAATGCAGAGGACGCGCGCGCACGATGCAGTTCATGGCAGACGCCATGAGGTAGCCCATGCAGGTAATTTTTTGAATTCAAGTAAGGTGCGAAAAACTCAGGAAAAACTCATTTGAGTTCTGATGTTCCGAATTCCCGTGTTCGGAGTGGTGCATGTACTATATATTTCAATATTCAACTCACCAGAAATCTTTCAAATACGCCACACAGACTGGATGAGACAGGCAGACGTCATCTCTCTGCTGAACCATAATCTTAGAAACAAACATGAATTATTGATTACATATCATGCAAGACCATCCRATAAGACCGCTTTAACTCATGTTCATTAACAACGTTTCTTCCCAATACAAACAACCCAGGAGTGAARKTTTATAGCTTGTTGAATTTAAAASTTTTAGTTTCCARGAAGAAAAGCTCTTCACAGAGAACTCTTGATTTRAATGTTGCAATTGACAATACTAGSTTTATGGCCCATAAGACCCCGSGCCCGGGCATRAGACCTAGCCCTGTTACCARCTAACCAATGATGAAAAGGCGTCATTCATATTCTCAATATATAGAGATAATTAAAATACTGAGATCCAGAATGACTTTGGAATGACTTACCTTGAATGTGATTGATAGTTTATTGAAACAATCCGTGGGATMTTTTGACATTCCATAAAGCAGAACAAAACTGTACTTTGTCTGAAATAAAGGCATATTTTCAGCTTATCCGTATTGCTGGAGTATGTCCCTTCATAGAAGAAAGATGTAGATATGTACGAATAGGCGATGTGAGCGAGGCCATTTTGTGTAACATATCATGATCATGATGGAAGTGGTAGTCCTCTCACTTTTTCATGACGTCCGCTAGAAAAAGTCTTTCAAAGCCGATTTTTCTTTTTCTTTGCAAAAAATAGAAGTATAATTTGTGCCGTTTATAAAGCACGCACAAAAAGCGGCTTTTGGSCAAGTTTTTTTAGTGGCCATCAAAAGTACAAGAGCTAAAATATCTATCARGCTTTGTTATTCAAAATGACCTCGCTTCACACTGTCTAGCGGAATGCGATCTGTGCCATCCCTATGGGTGCCAATCAATTAGACATATATTCAATATTTGAAAACCCAACAATCTTAACCCAACAATCTTAACCTGTATATCATCGTTCGTTTTAGAATCACACTTTTGCTCGACACACCTGTCCAAAAATTTCTGCAAAATTAAAAAGGATTAAATCAAAAATACTGTAACATGGTCAGCGGTCGATATCGTTAAAAAATGGGTCAGCGGTCACGTTACTTCGGAACAACGTTTTGTGAATGTTTTGTAGAGGAAATGTCAGTAAGTTTCATGAGGGTTCTAAGCAAATAAAGTTGGGTTGATAGGAGAATTTAAAAATTAAAAGCCAATGATGCGTTCAATTTTAAAATATARCGGAATTGAACTGAATTGTTTGATAATGCATTTGTGTGATGAACATTAATTCATCGATATAAATCATATGTTTGTTGGATGCATGGAAATACCTCTGCAACTCTAGGCATCCTTTGTGCCATCATTTGAAGCTGTGTCATTCCATTGACTGAAGATCCATCGTGAAGAAATTCCCAACATCTGAGAAAACAAATSAAATGCTGTTTTCAAATTTAAGATTCCTCTGTGTAGATAGTTTATTGTTGAAACCGAGCTTTCGGCCTACAAGCGGCCATTATCAAGGTTGTAAGTACACGTTATGACAAAAACGTGGCAGGCAAAAAGCTCGGTTTCAACAATAAACTATCCACACAGAAGAATCTTACTATTTGAACATAAATACGCTGTGTACGATGAGATTTAATTACTTTTAATGTAAAAATTTTGCGTCCATGTAGTATCAGAAACGTCTCTGAAAATATAGGTTCCGTTAAAAGTTAGCTTACCTCTTGTGACAAGATATACATTCTGCTATGTTTTTGTGGCCTTTTTCTATAGCAATATCTAATGGATTATAGCCTTGGTTATTCTTTGTTATTATGGTATTTTCTTGGCCAAGTAGCGATTGAAATGTTTCAAGATCTCCATTCTCTGCAGCGACATGCATTGGATCTCCCTTAAAATTAGATCAATTGACTTAAACATTGGCTACATACGTGCAACACCTCTGAAAGACGTAATAGAATTGTGCTATATTTATTTATTATTTGGATTTTTTTTTTCCATGCATTTTCAATAAGACTGCTGACGTTTCGACCGCCATATTGGATGAAATTGAACTTCTGAAGATGAGTCAAATTCGTCATCTTAATCCATCTGTTTTCCAAGATGGCGTAATACTAACCTCGTTCCCAGGGTCATCTCGGCCGACTCCTTTTCAAGATGGCGGTCGTCGTAGAAATGACACTGGTGGTGGCTAGAGAATCCAAGATGTCGRCTTCAGCTCAGATTTTTCTTTCGAAAGGATCTCATATATTATTGAATGTCAAATGCTCATAAAAAATGGAGTTTAAATTGCGTCCCTCAATTGCCTAAAACATTTCCAGTAGTGTCGGTACAGAACTACACAACGTCTATTTAAATTGTAAAGTTAAATGTGTATTCTTGTAGGGTCTTACCTCAGCCTTCAGCATGTCAAAACCTGTTTCACTTCATCACCAGTAATAAGCAGTGGAGCAGTTCCTGGAATCGTGAAAAGAATTTTGTGATGTTATTCTGTAATTTKTTTCATTGGTATCAAACGTTTAGGCCGAACTAAATGTCATACACGTCATACACGTCCGTATATATTTTCGAACTGAAGAGTGTGTATACCTTTCTATATACAAAATACCGTCATAGAGAATGCATTAAAAGAATATTATCATCAGCCTTAAAGCAATGATATACGTCGTCTGGCAAATTTCAAGTAGAATGTACTCCAATGGGCTACCCGCCATTATAGTAAGTATAGAATCAATTGCTATCCGATTGCCCGGAGCAGAAACATATTAGAACTATATGTCACTCGATACTTAGTAAGCAACAATTAATGTTACATTTCTATAGAAAGAAAAAAAGTATTGAATAACAAGAGATGCCAGTCGACAGAGCAGGAATGATACCCCAAAGGACTCATTCTTGTGCGGTGTTTATAGGAAAACAATTTCTTGAAGAGAGACGGAYGAGACGGGATGTTATTAAAGAAAGTGTCTACTATGTGGTATCCTATATAACAGCAATATGCATATACTGAAAATATGCCAAACTGAGGATAATTTCTCTTCCAGACATACAATTAACGCCTTTCTTCGACTTCTTGACAAAAATTCAAAGGCATATTTTTTAGCTTTGTTAATCAATTGGCAATATCATATCTTCCTCCGAGCATTGAAGAAGTTTATTCCTGTTTAGATTTCGAAGAGAGATAATAATCAAGATTTTTGCTTAGAAATAACTAACCTACATGAATTTAAACAAAATTATAATTTTCGTGGCGATTTCTCTACATTCCTTGCCTCGTTTCGTATATAATTCGCTGGATTATAAAAGAAAGCGTGTTATAGCTTTAATTATTTACAATGTTATAGCTTTCATCGCATTTATAGCTAGTTAGGTGTCMCGCTCAATTAGTTTGAATTTCTTAGTGTGTGGTTTAAACGAAACTTTCGATTCAATACACATAGATAAAAAGTGATATATTTATTCCTATCCGAATGGCAACAGATTGTCATTCGCCAAGCAATGATTATCTACCCCAGTGCTGTGTCAAACTGGAAAAAAAACAATTTCTCCTCGCTACTCGTATTTTGAAACAGTTATACAACAACATTGACGCACCTGTTAAGAGATTTCTTGTCACGAATGGAAAATGAGTCGAAATGGCTGAAGTTTTACAAAAGGATCATTTACATGGTTGTCTGTTTTCTTGGGATCATCAAGGTGATGCTACAGCTTGTCAATTATGTTCAGCAGTAGCGCAATACTTAATTTCTTTTCCGTCTTCCACATTTACATGCCAATAAAAGACTCATATAATACTGACTTATCTGTTTAATATATTAATTTGACTACAGGTGGTGAACATCTCCTGCACGGTTTACAAGTTTTACGAAGCACCTGCTCTTTAAGCAAATTCTGCTCTCGATAACATTAAACTAAGTGTATTATCATGTCGCAATAGAATCATGGTGGAAACTAGCGGTAAACTAGTGTGAGCTGCGTCGGTGTTTCTATAGAAATAGTTTTGTAAAAAGATAAATTTACAACGTAAAAAATAGGTGAATGAACTTACTGACGTTTCGGACGTTAATCCTTCGTCTGAGTGAAGACAGAATCATTCAGTCTTTACTGCATTAGAAAATCAGCAAATTAAATTAGCAAATATGTGACGATTCTTTCAAATTTACCTATAAAATTCTTATTTGCTGGTCGTCATTTTTTCTTATTTTCTTGGCTCTTGGCTTCCTTTTAATTATGTCTGTTGTCGGTTTGCTAACTGTTTTGTTTAATGTTGTACTTAGCCGAAATGATTCATTTGTGGTTTAGGTCATTACAAGTTGTGGCGTTAAATATTGTTAAATGTCTAAGCTGGTGGTTTTGTCATTACCTTTTGATATGGGTTTAAGTGGTCTCATTCATCTGAGGTGCATTGAAATGGTTATCAGCTTAAAAATATAATAATTACAAAAAAGCCATTATAACTGCAGTTTGACTGAATTCAGATTAGSCTTTTATGATAATCACCTCTGGCACAAASAAAACCAGAAACAGAGGCGATGTGTCTAGCCAACTTTTMCCTGTCTGATAATGACGATCCTCTCCGCAGTCGACATTGTAAATTTTTAATCATTACTGTACACCAGCAAGCAGAACAGCAAGACATGTCGAAGAATACCCTTGCTTTAGTATACTATCTGAATYGTATATGAAGACATCGGATCTAACTCTGCTATATATCTGACCAAGAAAAGTAACTAATTACTATGTACTAACTCAGCACAATTTCCCAAATTAGTTAAAGTTCAAAACCTTTTCAAATTCATCGATATATAGCGGCATATCATATTTTTTCTGATATATACACCTAACCAAAAAAATTCTGCAACTTTTAATATATATATGTCTTTTGTTCTTGAGAGATCAAACAATAGGGAAACAATAAACATATATATATTGAAAGTTGCAGAATTTTTTTGGTTAGGTGTATATATATATATATATATAAATAGAATAAACGAAGAAAAAGCCACGCAACTTGTAACTAGGTTTTCTACTTTTTAATGAACGTTTCGGCACTTCGGCCTTCTTCAGCAAACTGAGTGTTTTTCACGCGCCATTGCTACAAAATGCGACTAACGGAAAACAACAAAACGCGCGCGCTCTACAGCGCGCGCAGCCAAAAAACACGCGCACTTTAGAGCTTGCACGTGGGCTAGGACCTAAATCTAACCTACAAAACCAAGGAAAGCAGTAGCTAATACAAAACACTCAGCTAGCCAAACCAGAAATTACATCAAACAAACCCAAGCCAGATAAACAACACCAAAGTAGGAAATTACTAAATCTAATACGAATAAATAATTAAAACAAATAAAGGAAGGACATGAAAGCTACTGCCCCTGCAAGCAACCTTCAAAACTCCATCCACCTAACAATTATATTATATCAGCTGAAAGTACCACAGATACAAATAACACAAACTAACCGTGTATGGATGGGGGGGGGAAACAAACTTAATATTGAAGAATAATTTTTCATAGTGCTCAACTTAAAGGAGCAATTTATACATAAAATACTGAGCTAAACGCTTCGAATATGATCCATATATATATATATATATATACAGCCTTTTGCAAAAATTATGAGAATTGTCTAAATATCTAAATATCATAATATCCATATCCATATATTGTCCGGAACACGCGGGTTTGCTAGAATAATTCATTGTTGACATCAAGAAAACGCTCAGAACTACGGATAAGTCTGTCGCCAAAAAAAAAAACTAAACTACAAAGACAAGGGACTAAGGGCATCGCGCGGGATTACCCATCATGCACTCGATATTATGATATTTCGATATTTCGACAATTCTCATAATTTTTGCAAAAGGCTGTAT